AACAATTATAAAGGACAAACTGGACAACAAGGGGGGGTGGAAATGGGGGAGGGAGGCAGAGAGGGTTGGGGTGGTGGGGAGGGGTGGGGGGGGGGAAAAGGCAGAAAACTGTACTTGAACAACAATAAAAAAATTCTTCAATGACATTTTTAAAACAAAAGATAATGTTATTCACCTGAGATAATAAATGTTAATAACATTAATAAAAAAAGTGAGAACTTAAAAGGCTTCTGGTATATGTTCACATTAAAGGGTTATGTTGCATTTACCAAGTAATACCTAATCAGTCACGGTGGGTCCCTATGGTTCCTTCTCCCCGTGCCCTGGTGTTTAATGCCCGAGACCATTGCGCAAAGCTTCCAGCTTTGTTCTGAATGAAGTATCCCTCCGCCAGAGTCCGGAAGGACCTGTTAGATCTCGAACTCCTGCATGTGACCCATAGGAGTAGAATTCCAGAACAGAAGGAGCTGCTGGTTTCATAGCAAACATTTGTTTAGCCCCTGGTAGGAATTCCACATGCCTGAAGTGACTCGGCCGCTAAGGAGCCGAGAAGGGCCAGTGGCCGAAACAGCTGTGCCCTCTCCTCCTCTGATCTGGGGGACAAAGAATTCCACTTTATAGTGCTAAATAGTCAGAGACCGTCATCTTCCATTTGGACAAAACAGGACTAGGATAGTCAGAATTCTGTTCATCAAAAGTGTATTTTTTTTTTGTCTTTCCTACAATTACTGGGGGCGAAACACCATAATCCGTTTTTCAAAAGATCCTCATGTTTAAAGAACTTGGCCTTGTCCTTAACAGAAGCTGCTAGGAGGTACCAACCAAACTCTTGCTGGCAGCTTCCCCGGCTCTCTCGCTCCATTCACGTCTGAGAAAGCGTGGGGGCCACGTGCCCGTTCCACACATCTCCGACAGAGACGGCAAAGCGAGCGCTCGAGAAATGGGTGAGGAGCCTTCGATGGGCAGAGGGCGGGTGCCCGGCTGTGGCAGAAGCACTCTCTGTGCCTCGGGCAGTTCCGTCCTCGCGGTCACTGCACGCCGTTTGCCCAACGGGCGGCCCATGTCAGGGATGAAGAAACTGACACGAAGGGTCTGAGGAACCTGGCCAAGTTCACGAAGCCAGGAGAACATGGAAATTCGAGCCCAAGAAAACCGGACTCCGGAGCTGGCCCTTTCAACCGCTACGCTCTCCTGCCTCCGGGAGGGAATCAGGGAGGTCTTTGTGGGTGAAACACTGTTTTACTCTGGAGACTGTACAGAGTCCCTAGCACATACTAAGAGCTCATTAAACGTAGTGAATGTTTATTTTTTGAGTGCAGAGATGAAAAGACTCCAGAAGAGTTGTTTAATGCAAGAAGGGGTCCTTTCCAGCATCAGGGAGTAGGTAGACTCTTACAGTCTGACCTGTGGCACCTTCAAAGGGCTGCTCACCCGGGCGGGGAGGGGCTCACCTACACCAGAAGATTTCACCAACCCCTCCCCTGGCCTGCCTTCCTGGGCTTGGGGGAAATGACAAGTAGCCACTTAGGAATAGACCAGGGGCCTGAGGGATTGTAAAGTAAGCGGCGAGTGTTCAGCACACCAGGAATCGTGGACAAAAGTGTGTATGTTCATCCCGGGGGCGGGGGGTGGCCAGAAGAGTTTACAGTCTGGGCTGTGTCTCCAGAAGTGATGGGGGTGGACTTCCGTCGCTCTGTCCACACTCCGATCTTAGTCCCCTAACCTCAGGTGTGATGTGTCTGTACCAAAAAGGTGGTCTCCCTGCATGAGGGAGCCACAGCCGACGTCATCGGCGTTGTCCCAGCGGTAAGACTGGTCACTCCAGTCCCGTTGCGCAGAGCTAGATCATTGCCCTTCCCAAACTGACCTCAGGGCGACAGCCTCGTGCTGCTCTCAGCCACTCGAGTCCACTTTGCTTCGGCTGTGGGAGCGGCGTCCTTTCCAGCCGCTCCCATTTGAAACGGGCCCCAAGGAGAGGCCCCTGCCCACGCCGATTCGTGTGCACCCTTCAGAATTATCTGGAAGGGTATTGGAACAATTCCTTTTTTTCCAGAGTCTCCCAATGCATGTTAATAAGGGGGAGGGGGGGCGCATGTTCAAGGGAATTTGGAACATGCTGGGTGAAAAGGAGTTGAACCGTTTTCTGCAAAATCCTTAGAGCCTTGAACGTATGGTGGGGATTCTGCACCTGTCACAGAGTACCTGGCACCTCGCGAACGCGCATCGCCCCCACGTCCTTGTCTGTGAAGGCACATTCCGGCACCACTGCGTCTCAGAAGCCCACGGTGGGTGCGAGTGCAGGCGTCGGACCCTGACTGCGGAGTCCGGCTCCAGCACCTGCTGCGGCCTCGAGCTCACTGCGTAACCTCTGCGCAGCAGTCTCCTCGTCTACAAAACAGCAGCGGCCGTAGGCAGCGTACCTCCTTCACAGAGCTGCGGAGACCGAGGGACCGCACACACCTGCCTGCCCCCCCTCCACCAAGTGCGAGACGAGGTAGCTGTGTCGGAACCACACAGCCTCTGCTTACCAACCACCTAGGCCCCACACGCGTGGAAAGGGCACACTTCAAAAGCCAGAGGACGTTCCCTGTGACCTTCCTACAGTGAAAGGAACATGTAACTAGGGAATCGTACGGAGGCTTTGAATTGGGGGAGGATTCGACAGAGTCTCCCGTTTAAATCATCTGTCCATCGGCGTGGCCGCAGCCGTGGTGAAACGCAATTGTGGACTTGGAGCGACTGAAGGCGAAAGGAAAGAGGAAGGGAGAGAGGCAAGAGCGCTCCAGGTATCCGTCTCATGCAGACAAGGGTGAAAGAGAAAACGTCAAACCGTGTGTAACGGGCGACGGTAGACGTCACACACCCCCCATTCCAGCCTCCCGGGGGGATGTGATGGAAAGAACGGAGCGGCAGGGCACTGTCTAGCCCGTGGAGAAGGTGGAGAGAGAGCCATCTCCAGAAGTGGCCTAGGCAGCAGTGGAAGAAGATGCCCATTCATTCCAACAGTTCCACAAACCAGTAGGCTTCCGGCTCTGGGTAAAAAGCAGGGAGGGGTCTGTTGGGAGTGGTTTGCAGTCAAATGGAGGGCCGGACTGTCACAGGCCGTAACAATCACTACTTAGAACACAGGCGCTAGACCAGCATCCGGGAGCCGTGGAGAGGGGTTCCACTACAAAGGCAGGAGGTGACTGTCAGAGACAGGAAGGCAGCCTCAGGGCCGGCCCCACCCAGGGTGAGCTGATGCCCATTTGCGCGTGTGTTTGTGTCCGGTGCACCACACAGGAGGGGAGACTTCCCCTCTGGAGCGAGTGATTCCGCGGGGAGGAGGCTGGGAGTGAGCGAGCCCCACCAACTCAAACGGGAGGCTTGATAGCGCGTCCTCCGGCAGACGGGGCCAAAATGACTATATAAAGTAAATACCGTAAATCACCGTTGTCAGGGCGCACACTCCGCCTCCCCCCGCCCTGCCCACACACACCCCCTCCACGGTTCAGGGCCAGCTCGTGGTCGAGGCGAGCGAGAGGACTCCTGACTATAATCCGGGCACGTCACTTTGTTGAAGGCAAACACGTGGTTCGGAGGGAATTTATAAATCTCTCCTCCCAGGCAAGCCCGTGATGTTATCTGCTGGCAGCAGACGGCTCGCTTCGAGGGGAGCTCCAGAAGCTCCCAGCGAGAGAGAGAGGCAGAGAGAGGGAGTGAGAGAGAGGGAGAGAGGGAGAGAGGGAGGGAGAGGCTGGGGAAAGGGATGCAGAGCTAGTATAACGGTCCAGGGAGCCTTTCGGGATCCGGCCGAGTGGCTGCTGGCCGCAGAAGCGGAAAGCAGGAGGGTCGATTTCAGGGTGCCCAGTGCCGACCTCCCCTAAGCGAGACCGTCTAAGGCGCAGAGCAACCAGGAGAACCGGGAAAGGGTGGGCGTCCAAGGGAAGCCCTGCGCGACCCCCGTAGGAAAAAAGCTGCCCCGCAGCGGTCCCAGGGGGTGAAAAAGCCACGGCGGCGGCCGCCCGTCGCCTGTTGCCGGGTTGGCGTTTGGAGCGAGAGGAGGAGGAGGAGGAGCAGGAGAAGGAGGGAGCTGGAGGCTGGACGCGTTTGCCAGCGGCGGCGGCGGCAGCAACGTGGAGTAACCGGGCGGGTCGGCTCGCTCCGGCCGGGGTGGAGGCCACAGCGCGCGGCTCTGGGAAGGATCCTCGCGTCCTCGGCAGCTGCCGCTGCGGCCGCCGCCGACCTGAGCGGGTCCCGAGCGCCCAGCGCAGCGCAGCGCAGCCACCTCCCCGCGGCGCGCCAGGCTCGCCCCCAGCGCGCGCGCACCCGCGCGCGCGCACCCACACTCACTCTCACACACACTCACACCCTCACACACGTGTGCGCTTCTCCGCTCCCGAGCTGTTGCTGCTGCTGCTGCTGCCGCCGCCGCTGCTCCCAGCGCCGCAGCGGACCGCGGGGCCCAGCCGCTCCTGCCTTAAATATATAAATTACGGCCGCGCAGCCTTCGCGCCGCTCTCGCTGCGCCCCTCCCGCCCGCGCGCCAGCTGCCAGCCCCGGGACCTCTTCCTCCCTTCCCTCTTGGCCGGAGGAGCCGAGTTCAGATCCGCCACTCCGCGCCCGAAACTGACACACTGAACTCCGTGTCCTCCTCTCAAATTCATTTCTGCCTAACAGCCACCCGTCTCTCCCCCCACCCCCAACCTCGTCGCTCCAAGGAAACTTTTTCTTACTCCCCCAAGTGAGGGTTCCCCTCTGCCCGTCGTGTAGTAATACTTCCACCTTGGGAACTACTGGCATTTTCTTTTTAAAGGAATTCGAGCAAGATATCTTTTTTTTTTTTCTCTCCACCATTGGACATTGATTGACTCGGTCGTTTGCAAAAGTTTCGCATTAAAAAAAAAAAATCTATCTGATCTGTACTTTGAGACTGGTTGGTTTCTTTTCTTTCTTCCTTCCTTTTTTTTTTTTTTGGACTTTTTTTTTTACTTAAAAAATTTTTTTTCACCTTTAAAAAAATGCACTACTGTGTGCTGAGCGCTTTGGGGCTCCTGCATCTGGTCACGGCCGCGCTCAGCCTGTCTACCTGCAGCACGCTGGACATGGAGCAGTTCATGCGCAAGAGGATCGAGGCGATCCGCGGGCAGATCCTGAGCAAGCTGAAGCTCACCAGCCCCCCAGAAGAGTACCCCGAGCCCGAGGACGTGCCCCCGGAGGTGATCTCCATCTACAACAGCACCCGGGACTTGCTCCAGGAGAAGGCGAGCCGCAGAGCCGCCGCCTGCGAGCGGGAGCGCAGCGACGAGGAGTACTACGCGAAGGAGGTTTACAAGATCGACCGGACGCCTTACTTGTCCTCGGAAAGTGAGTACTGTTTTTTTGCTTCCATTCCCCGAGGCTTAGCGCTGCCCGAGTCTCTCCAAAGGGCCACCACCGCAGGGATCGCCCTTCCCTGTCCGCGTCCCCCCGCTCCGTCTCCCCTTCTCCGGTCCCTCGTCCCACCCACCTCCTCTCCACTTGTGGGCTCGGGAAACGTAGGCTTGAAAACCTTGCCTTTCGACCGTACTTTCTCCATTCCTCCCTTCCCCCACCCTCGCCTCCGTCCTTTCTAAGGCGTTATTCCCTCTTTCTCGCCCCTGAAATTCTTTGCCCGGCCGCCAGCTAGCAGTCAGCTCCCCTCCGCCACCCGAGAGGGGCTCCCTGGGGCCGAGTTCGGCAGGGACATCTCGGTGGGTTGCTTTCCTGGTCCCCGATGGCCGCGGAGGCGGTCCAGCTGGTGCATGAAGGGTTAAAAAAGAGTGGCTCAAAGCTAGGCTCGCCGGAAGGCGCCCCTCTCCGTGCCGACCTATCAAACGGCTCCCCCAGCTTCCCCTACTGTCTCGGCCCCCCCCCAAAAATGTCAGCATCGCCCAGACAAACCCGATTTGGTGAAACCCCTCGAAAAACCTACCTCCAACCCCCGATTCCTGAACCTATTGCCACAGCTGGGTGTTTGTGTCCCCCAAAGGCCGGCTCTTCCAGCCAAGGCCCCTTCTTGGTGTCACCTGGAGCGTTGGGAAGGACCACTTTGTTTCTGACGCTGCCGAAGGGGGGTTGCCTTCGCGTTATTTTCCAGAATCCGCTCAAACCTGCCTTCTTAAGCTCGCGGTCTAGCAGGTCATTTTTCTTATGCGTTTATTTTTCTCCCTCTTGAGCCCTGGGCTCCTGCAGTGACTTGGGTGCATTCCTAAATCTCAGATAGAGTAGAACACAGCTGATTTAAAAAAAAAAAAAAAAAACTAAATAAACCGGCTTCTCCAAGGGCAGTGACTTCAAAACCAGCTGGTAGACAGTAGCCATGGGAGTGAAGTGATTTATTGGGGAGTTCCTTGGGGGGTTGGGAGGGGGACAGTTAGCTTAGAATTAGTTCCAAGTTCTTAAGAAGAAAAAAAGAAAGGAAAGAAGAAGGATCCAATGATACCTGAGAGGGTTAAATACCAGGAAGAAGAAGGAAAAGGGGGAAAAAAAGCTTCTACATTTGCTTAGTCCAAACCCCAAGTTGTAAACTTTTCATTGGTTGCCCACTTCTCCCCACCCCATCCACTGCCCTATATGCGTGCTGCCTTGAGACAGTCTCCGTGCCTTTCCCGAGCAGATAGCATGGCCATCTTGATCATCTCATCCTCGAGGTTCTAGTCGTGGGGTGGAGCTTTCCTTTCTTAATATTTCTTCTTAGTTGGGCAAGTCACAGCTTTGCTGCTCGCCCTGTCTCCTGCCAGACAGCCTCAAGATCCGGGTAGCTCAGCCCCGACTTCCCCGCGACCTGGCTTGTGCTGTGGTTTCTCCTCTTGTCCAAGGGCAGAGAGCAGAGGCAGGGGGAGCCTGGCAGGCAGGAGGATTTCACTGCTGTCATCACGGCACCATCCACCCCGGTGGCAGCGATGAATACACCGCGCCCCGGTTATGCCCTGCGGAGAGCAGAGCTTTCTTGTCTAGGGTGGAGCCAAGGAGATTTTTTCAGGCAAGGAACGTTCATTGTAATTAGTCCAAAACCATTGAGACCAAACAGGGGGTTGAGTCAGTTTGCTTTCTCCAGCAAGTGCATGGTTGCTGCCGGTATCTGGGCAGACAAACCAGTGTGTTATACAGAACCTGACCAGGTCAGCCCTGCAGGCCAGTTGCCTGCAAAAGCGCTAGTGAGCTGCCAGCGCTTTTTAGCAGAGGAGGTCTGAGTCCGTCGTGACATCGTGACATTGGTGTGGGGGGAGCGAGTGGCCCAAGGAGCTGCTGACTCTTTGTCCTTCCAAGCGTATGAAAGCTCAGAGGGCTGAGATGATCTGACCCAGGTTCACGGTCATCGCCCAGCAGGAAAATCCTCACAGTGTTAGGATTTCAGAAGATGGCCTCTAAGGTCAGCGGGCAGAGGCCCTTCTCTTGTCCACCCCTAGCCACCCCCAAAATTAAAACTTCTAACAAGCCCAATATAAAAAAAATATGTACTATCAGCTTTCATACAAAAAAAATATATACAGGCTTCTTCAAGCCTGGCTCGTGCATGGAGATTTAGGAGCAGGAAACCATACGAACTGCAGACCTGACCGTACTGTGCGGGGGCTGTGGCCCATGTTATAGAAAGTAGGTTAACTGATTTTCCAGCACTCTCTAGTTATACTGGAATATGGTAAACCCTTCCAAAAAAAAAAGGAAGAAAAAAGAAAATCACTCCACCATATTTTTAAAGAGCAAATTGAAAGTACAGCACCGACTTCTGCACCAACATTTCCCCTTCAGGACCTCGGCTGTGGCCGTGGGGAGGGACCTCGCCGAAGTCACCTGTCACTTCTTGCGGTGACTTCGGCGAGGGTCAGGAGCCTCAGAGCCGAAGGCATGGGAAAGATCACTGGTTCCTTTTTTACCACCAGCTTATAGTGTTCAGGGAGTGACCGCAGCTCAAATATTACAAATATGCTCTAATTATACTCAATGAGCTATATATCATTACAGATTGCTGATAGCCCTTGGTGGGACATTTTATACAGTTCAGACTAAATATTTTTAGCAACGTGGAAATTTAAAAGTAAAAATATAAGAGATATTGTATATGCCTTCAGGCGTATTTTGTCTTAAATATTATCCTTGGCCCAGCGTGCTATATAAATACAGTAAATATGAATAGAACTGGCCAGTTGCCAGTCTCCTAGGATGAATTTTAGTCAAGAAAGGTATTTATGGGATATAAATAATACTGCGTCAACACTTAAAGAAGGAGTCTGATTAGTTTTGAATTTACTCAGATTGATGTTTTCACACGCTGTTAGTTTAAGGCTCGCAGCGGGCTGGTGCTTCGGTTTCCGGATAGTTTACCTAGTGGGATTGGGAGGATTTCTCCTTCTTTTGACAACCCATCTGAAGTTCAAGACACATCTCTTCAAAAGACACTGCACCAGGCTTTAGAAATTCAGCAAGAGCAACTTCCTTAACCAGACAAGGTGTCAAGTGATTGGCAATTACAGTCCGTAGAGGCTTGGAGAGTCAAAAGAGAGAGAAACCAAAAGTTTCATTTTCTGTCGTGCCCTTTTTCATAGCTACAAGTCGGGCACTGGTTGTGGCTGTAACTGTGGTGATCCGCCCCCCCCCCACACACACATGCCACACACCCCTCCTCCCTCAGGATACATTTGGCAAAGTCCTGGGATATTTTTGGTTGTCCTGACTGGGCGTGGAGAGGTGCTATAGGCATGTGGTGGGGAGAGGCCAGAGATGCTGCCAATCACCCCACAATGCACAGAGCCACCCCCCTCCCCCTCCCCCACACCAGATAATTATCCGGCCCAACGTGGCAATAACGCCCACATGGAGAGGCCTTGGTGAGCCCGGTATTTATTTTGGGGGTACTGAATTCTGCTAGTAATACCATTTTGAAAGTAATCACCTAAAAATAAAATATCTGTGATCAAAAGGACATTAAAATGAGAGCATCCCACAGAAAGATAATCAGAAAGTTATGTTAACTAAATAGGAGTATGAATTGGACCATTTTGTGTAGTGTAGGCTTTTTAAAAAGGGTCTTAAAACACCTAACTTAGAGGCACCCAAGCTTCCCATTCATTTAGCCCAAGAAAAGGTGTGCCCCACCCCCCTCCCCCCCGCCACCCATCAGTAACTCAGTCAGCAACAAGGTGATGTCCATCAGAACAAAGAGAAGTGAGAACTTATCTTGGGTTTTCCTTGCAAGGAAAATAAGCAATTCACATTCGTGGAGAGTGGCTTCTCCAAGCCAGGCAACCGAAGAAAGCCAGTGACCGTGCTGGTTCATCCCATCCCGTTGAACTAGATAAACTGCAGTTCGCAGCCCGAAACGTCACAGTGAGGTTTCTTGCGTCACCGTCTCACGGGCAGGTCAAGCACTAGAGCTCCAACACTGTCCATGTCTGTGTCCTCTGCGATTTCCCCAGTGACATCGTGGGACGTAGATAGAACGAATCCCATTAGCGCTGTGCTTTGGAGAAACTCGACTTAAGATTCTATTCGTGGGTATGCCTTTCTGAGCACAAATTGCCGGCCGATGGGCCGCTTGCCCAGGGAAGGAAAATCTTAGCAGTTGCTGGAACAGAGTTGTATTTTTGCTTAACGTTCAGGGTTTTATTTTTTAAGATTCTCTGTGTGTGGGTGTGTGTGAAAGATAAACAGAGAGACAGAGGGAGAGATCAAAGGCAGATGAAACCCCTCAGCTTTTGCACAATGACTGAGTTATTAACAAACAACAGGCCAACTTTAATTCTTGCATTTTTATTGCATCATTGCTTGTACTAACTCTAGTGTCTAATTGTGGTTGCGTTTAACTTAGGCCACATTCTCTGTCAGGATTTCCTCTCTGCTCTTTCTTTTACTTTTCAAGGACTAGGAAAAAAACCCTCAAAGAAATATACTGTTTATAACCCAAGCATTTGGGCCGTCTTTGTTGCCAAGTGAGGCCGGCCTGCTTCGAGCCTCTCCGGAGGAGGACTCCGCACCACCACGGAGGCTGGGCTCTGTAGCAGGAGGGGCAGGTGGGGACCACTTGGCCTCCCAGAGGGTCCTGGAGCCCTCCGTGACTCCACAGCGGCCCCTGGGGCCGACTTCAGGAGCTGCGCCTTCGGTAGGATGACGTCTCCCTGATGCAAACGTGCTGATGTACCGTCCTCACGGCATCCTCCGCATAAAGATATCAGAGAATGACAGATCAGCATTCCTAGAGGACGAGGCGATGTGAAAACAGGGCTGATGACTCACTGTTGATTCACCGTCAGATCTGGGCTAGAACCGAGGAGGTCCCTGGACTCCCAGGCCTTTGCCCAGAGATGACAGCACAGTCGGGCGGCATTTCTAGAAGCTTAGTGGAGCTA